TAAGGGATCTCCCCAGGAGGTAGATAGGTAATCTTACACATTTCATTGACATTCTATTTGCCTGAAAACTTTCACAAGGACATTCCTCATCATAGAGGATGATGGGAAGTGGGTTCTGTGTGAGGGTTGGCTGTGGAGGTAGTGGAGAGACAGAGGTTATATTATTGGGGGAAATGGGGTAGATAGGTATTGGGTGAGGGGAAAAAGAATCTCTGCCATAGAAAATATAGTTCTGAAGAACAGGGAGCTTTGAAGTCAGCAGTCTTGGGTTTAAACCCCAGTTCTTTGTAGGTATACTATCATGGTCAAACCCCTTAATCTCTGATTTATTCTCATATATCTTATATAAAATTGTATAATATTTACCTCCTAAAGATAAATGAAGGAATGTATGTTCTGTATTTGTCACAGTCACTGTGGCTATGACATTAGCCCATACATTGTATATTTGGCTTTATTTTCTAGTTCAAATGGTGTTACTTTTCCTTCTTTCATATACTAACTAAGAATCAGTAGGTCTGGCTAGGGCCAGTATAGCTGGGGACATGATGTATGGTTGAATGTCTTAAGAGGACAAAGCAACTCCTAATTTTGTATGGCTTTCATGCTACCAAACCCAAGGACAGGGTTACAAGTGAGACTTAGGAAGTATTTGCATTTCAAGAATGTGGGAATGAGAGAGACCCACTGAAGCAAGAAGAACTTGCGGGAAGGTGCTAGGTCAGCTACATCTCAAGGCAGAACTCTCCACTGTCCTGTCACTACCGCTAGGTGCTAAGGCTGTAGGTCTGACTCCTCGGACTTGAAGATTCCCTACTCATGAGAGAGGATTACTGGAATATTCCCAGTGCTTTCCCTGCATTAACAATGCATACCTATCTGGACTACTTCAAGCTGTCCACAAGGGAAGAGAAGCACAGCAGTGTTTCAGATGACACCACAGGTAGAATTTCAGTCATAAACATTCCCTGGTACTTTCTATGATTGGATACTGTGTGGCCAAGAGGCCTGTAAACATGAGGTAGATTCTGACCTGAAACTTGTTACCACCCATGTAGAACCAGGCAGAAGAGCAAGTGCAGTGGAGAACATGAATGTTTCCATATTAGCCTGGCTGGTATAACTCTTTCCCTGACCCCATGACTTGCTAAGGCTAGAGGAAGGTGAGCAGATAAGAAGAGGCTCGTTCCAAGCATAGCACGCCTTACTCTTTCCTGCATTGCCTGGCCATCCTTGAAAATGGACGTTTCTTGCTGTAAGGAAGCAGAGAGAAACATAGAGCTGACTAGGATTCTGCCTGAATCTTGGAGCCGTCCTCAGTCCTGACTTGTTCTTGGCTAGTCAGCCTCTATATGGCCTAAAGACTTGTGAACAAGAGAAAACTACCAGTTTAAGACATCAGCATTGGGATGACCTGCTAGGCTACCTGGCTGTGGCAATGGTTAGCTGGTCTAACCAACAGTTGTGTGGTGTATGTTGTGAGAAGGGCCATGGGGAGATTTCAAAGAACAATTGACAGGCCCGCCCTAGGGGAGGAATGCTTTATGAACTTACTATATGATATTCTATATGACTTTTTGGATATTCATTCTCTCAAGATATTCATGCCCTGCCCCCTGGAATGCTTTATAGACCAGGAAGTTAGGAATGTGTAGAATCTCTAAGTGCATGTCAGAATTGTATATAAAATGAGGGTTACTCTCCAGGGAATTGTTGTCTCTTGGTGTCTATGGGTCATTGACTTATGGATCTTCTAGATACTGAAGACCTAGGATCCTCAAGCCCCCTACAATGTATGAGCTGTATAAGCCTCCTCTATACTTTGAATCATGTCTGGGCCAGTTATAATATCAAACAGAAAGGAAATGCTAGATGGGTCATTGCTATAATGTCTGGCTTAAGGAATGATGACCAGGTATGTATAGCAGAGACACTGAGAGTAAAACAAGGAAGGCCAAGTTTCCCAACCATGTTTTCTGACCTTAACAAGTAGCCTTAGTGAATGGGTCTTTCAGATATAACACCATTCTGTGAAAAGGAGGGAAAAGGAGAACAAAAACACTAAGTACCTTTATGAAATGGTAGCAGAACTCTATTGTGAGAAACTCTTGTCACAGGTCTCTATGGGCACCAGTCTCCAAGACCTCCTAGGCCCACAACCCCCAAACTCTGACAAGCCTGTTCCCATGTATTTGGGACCTCATTAGAGTCTTGTCCCCCTTGAGACTCCTCTGCCTTCCATACAGAAGTCTGTATTTGGGGATGCAGCAGAGATGTGTCTTTTTTTCAACCCCCTCTACTACTTTCTTTTGGAATTTAGAAAAGGCGAAACTATCCAATGGGAATTTGATTCACATGTCTTTAAGCATGTCTCTGAAAGGGTTCACAGTGACCTATCCAGATGGTGCTGCTTGGCGTCAACTGGGGGAGATACGTTAGTTACTGAGTTGGGGATCTGCTTTCAGCTACAATCTTGCAGGCTGTTAGGTACTTTTTGAAAGCTTCCAGGTGATCTTGGTACGCAGCAATGCCAAGAAACATTGGCTGAAGCCAAGTGGGGACTTCCTAAGAAGACACAAATGAGTCATAATCCCAGGCTTAACAGTCTCCTAATTTTACATGTGCTAAGTGAGTCTGAAGATACCAGGTAGGGGGTGAAGGGTTGTCATCTCTGCAAACTGTTCAATTTATTGAATTCTCCTTAGAGTTTTTCCATCCCAGGTTTCAGGGGTTGAGGTATTTCTTCCTCATTGGCCACTTACCCCCATTCATCCCATCTTTAATGAGACTGAGGTAGGAAGTCAGCTGGCACTCTACCCCAATCAAGGGAATCAATTTTAACTTTGGGAAATGACAAATTGAGGCAGAGAGATGATCAGGGTACAGGTTCCCTCTCAGCAGTGGATATGGCCCAATGTAAAGACAGGTTTGTCAACTTCTCAGGGAACACTGAAAGGTTCAGGGTGAGTCCCTGAGGTTTGACTTTCGTCTTGTTTTGAGCTGTGTTATCACAGCACTGTAGGCCAGCAACCAATACATGGCCACATGATTAATGTTCAGGGACCCAGGGAAGATGGAGTTTCCTATGTGGGCCCCCAACAAGAACTCCATCTTGGAGCTAGGGAGAGAGTGGATATTACATGATCTGTGTTTGAGAAGGAAGGCAGGCCTAAAAGGTCCAGCCTGTTAATGAGATAAACATTAGACCTTCCTGAACCTTTGGGGCACTTCCGAAAACACAGCAATGCTGTTCCAAGCCCAGGGCAAAGAGGAGCTCAGGTGGCTTCTCATCTTCCGACACAGGCTACCCCAGGTTCCTACAGGAAGCTATACAGCTTGAGGCAGACTCTGACCCTTTGTTAACTCTGATAGAAGCCTTTAAGGTTTATAACTAGATAGAAGATTATTGAATAAAAGGAAAAACTCATGAACCTCTGGCTGCCCTGATTTGGTTGATACCCCAGGGTGATCCCACAAGGCCCCTGAAGATCTATCTATAGCCAGCTTCCGGTAGGAACAGTGACACCCAGTTTGGAACCACTGTGCATACTACAATAGGAAGGTCACTGGAAAGGGAGATTGCTCTCTCTGGTCACCTCAGAGAGGGCAAGCTCTGTGGCATCCCACGCTAAGCCCAAGCTTGGGTCTGGTCCCCTCAGGGAGAAAGTTCCCACCTGGACTGAAGAGGCCTGAGTATCCTGCAGGCTCTACCACTTCCTTCACAAAGTCACTATCACATCCGGGGAGCCTGGACCTCAGGAAAGCTTTGGCTGGCAAACGGAGAAACAGTTTCATTGGATACAGAGTTTCCTATTCTAGTCTGCTTCAGCTCCTTGGCTCAGATTCCAGTATCAGCTGTGCAATGATAGCTATAGGTAGGCAGTCTAGAGCGAGGATTCTTACTTTCTTTCCAGTTATCATTTGCTTCTATTTCTCTTTAGAGAGAGAGCAGATAGGTTTCTGAAGAGCCAGAGAAGTCTTCCGCAGCTAGCTTCCTTTGAGAGGCTTGGTTCTAAACTCATGTCCATTCCTAACAGACAACCTATGAAAATAAAGTGTGACTCTACAACTGCTAGTGATATTTCTTGGGCATGAACTCCTTAGACCTCACCCTTATGCATAAAGAAAGATGAAAGGGAAGGCCATCTTGGTCCCCGGGACTCAATATTTATCTAAAATTTGAATTTCTTCAGAGCCACAACCTTGTGTGCCTTATGGGGTGGGACCAGGACCCGCAAGAAGCTAGATACCTTGCTTCCTCAGGGTCAAGGAAAGTCTCCTTCCCCCCCTCCCCCCTTGGCAGTGCTTTGGCCAAAGTACCTCAAGAAAATCACCTAAGAAAAGAGATTGGGCTACAATCATAAGTAAGTGTTATTTGTTAAGATTCAGAGGCCAACACTTGTGCTTGCTTCCTGGGCATGGCAAACCGCAGGTTCATAGAAACCTATGCCTTCAGGAGAAGAGCTGAGACCACACATGTCACTAGAACAGTCAAGGAGAGATTTCTATGCCTCTAGTCTTAGCTGCCAGAAACAGATAATGTCAGTCTTGACCGGTTAAGACCTAAGAAGATAATCATCTTGAGGGTGGGATGGGTGGGATGGGTGGGATGAGGCGAGAAAGAAAGCGTTGATTTCTCAATCCCGGTCTCTATGCTTAATGAGAAGCAGGTTTTGCAGAATTATGCTATTTAAGCAATTTCCCTCTGAGGGACTTCAGTTCTGAGTTGCCCGGGCTGTCCAAAGTGAGCATCTCTATGTAGGGACCCTCCCTGCCCTTTCAGAGTGGCCCCGGGGACTCTAGCCTGTGTTCTGCTCCCTTTCGCCAGAACAAAATCCCCACCAAAGCCTCACTCGGATGGTGTTGCTTGCTTTCCTTCTACCTTGAACTGAGCAGAAGAACCCAAGACCGAGGAGGTGCAGTAGCTTCCTGTGCGTTGTGGTCCCACCTCTGGCAGGCAGACAGCTAACAGTAAGAGCTGATGGGTCCTGGTGCGAAGACTTCCTTTTGCTGGTTTCATCTATGATCGGCTGAGTCTGCCCATGTGGGTCCAGGCAGAGCTTCCCACAAGAGAAACCAGAGGATCTTTTGGCTTTTGGTGATTTGTTGAGGTGCTCACGAACTCAGCAACTGAGTTCGGGCACGGTAGGACAGTGCATAAGATGAAGACAGTCCTTGTCTTCTGTGGAGAGCTAGGTCTGTGGGAGGTGCTTGGGTTTTAATGTTAGCCAAGCTCATAAATACAGCTACAGGGAGACAAATACAAATGGTTTCAATTTCCTTATTTGAAAATATATACAGCAAACGTTCTCGTTTTCAGGTGCAGTTTCAAGACCCTGTTCTATTCCCTCCCCGCCCCCTACCTCAGAACCACCTTCCTATGGAAGCTCACGCTCCTACTGACCCCTCCCTCTTCCTCCTCCCGTAGGCTCCGAGGGTCCTGCGCGCTCTGGAAGTCGGTGAGGACAATGTTCATCTTGCTTGTGTTAGTAACCGGGGTTTCTGCTTTCACCACTCCCACAGTGGTGCCCACAGGAACGGTTTCTGAATCTCCCATGACATCGGAGAAGCACACAGGTGAGAAACGACCACTTCAGCTGGGAAAGGGCTTCGGGAAAACCAGTTTTCCAGTGGGATTCGGCTAACAAGCAGCAAACTACAAATATTCGTGGCTTGGCAAGTGATGACAGAATACTCCCTGTCTGTAAGCTGAAGCCTGAGTATCTTTCCTGCCAGGAAGAGAATGGAGAATATGACCAGTTTACCCCTAGTCAAAGACAGCTTTTACTTTGGAGTTTGAGATGCCCAAGAAGACCTCAGACTTAATCCAGATTGTAATCAGTTAGATTTGTTGAAGCTGTTGGCAAGATAGTAATCTCTGAGCCAAATTAGAGACCTCGAACAGAGTGAGGGAAGGATTTTTTTTTTTTTTCTAGACATGGCTTCTCTGTGTAGTTCTGGCTGTCCTGGAACTCACTCTGTAGACCAGGCTAGCCTCGAACTCAGAAATCCGCCTGCCTCTGCCTCCCAAGTGCTGGGATTAAAGGCGAGCGCCACCACCACCCGGCCAGGATTTTTTTTTTTAATTAGTTAATTTATTTACTTTACATCCTGATTGTAGCTTACCTTCCCTCTTCTCCTCCCAATCTCTCCCTCTCACCTTAGATGCTAAAGAATTTCCAGCCCCAAATCTTTTTTTTTTTTTTTTTTTATTACAATGTGAACCTGATTTATCTGCCTCCACAGGATAGAAATTCATGGTCCATAGGTTATCATTTTGGAAGTCTAAAAGTCACAGTAATAGAGGGAAACTGGTGCAGGTCACTTTGCTGGGACCAAGCAGAATCTTGCTTAGATGTGCTGTGTATCCTTGGGTTGGGTCCACCAACCATTTTGTTTGGGGACTTGTTTTGTGATGTGAGTAGTCTTGGGACCTAATGCCTACTATCTCTGACTTACAGTCCATGGAGACAACTGCCAGTTTCGTGGCAGAGATCCCAAATCTGAATTGAGGCTGGAAGGTGAGCCCGTGGTTCTGAGGTGCCCTCTGGTACTTTATTCCGACACCTCCAGCAGTTCCCACAGCCTTCTGACCTGGAGTAAATTGGACTCTTCTCAGCTGATTCCAGGAGATGAGCCAAGGATGTGGGTGAAGGGTGACACACTCTGGGTTCTGCCAGCAGTGCAGCAGGACTCTGGTATCTACATTTGCACATTCAGGTAAGACTCTCTGGGACTGGGGTAATGTGGACTCAATGTCCAGGCAGAGGCAGAATGGACTCTAAGGTTTTCAGTGACAATTGCACTTTCAAAGTACATGAATGACAATAACACTATGTTCTCCTTTGTGTTCCTGCAAAAACTCCTGTGCTGTTTAGGAGTATACATATACACATACACATACATATACACAAACACATACATATATATACATATATACATACATATACATGGTTTTTTTCCTTCTGTCAATTTGACATAAGCTAGCTTCACCTTGGAAGAAGGATTCTCAATTGAGTAACTGTCTCCACCAGACTGACATGTAGTCACACACATGAAACATTTTTCTGGTTAATGATTCATATAGAAGAGGCTAGCTCAATGTCTTAGTGTTTTATTGTTATTTTTATGGAAGGGACACCATGACCATGTCACTTCTTATAAAAGGAAGAATTAATTTGGGGGTTACTTAGCATCAGAGGTTTAGTCCGTTATCCCCATGGTGGGCAGCATGGGGCATGCAGGCAGACATGGCACTGGAGAAGGAGCTGAGAGTTCTACATGAGGATCCACAGGCAACAGGAAGGGAGAGATAGTGGGCCTGGCTTAGGCTTTTGAGACCCTCAAATCCACCTGCCCCCAACAAGGCCACACCCACTCCAACAAGGCCACACCTACTCCAACAGGCCACACCTCCTAATCTCTCTTAAAGTAGTACCACTCTTTAAGGATCAAGCATCAAATATATGAGCCTCTGGGGGCCATTCTTATGCAAACCACCGCACCCACTGTAGGCGATGCCATCCCTGGTCAGGAGGTCTTGGGTTGTATAAGAAAGGAGGCTGGAAAACCCATGTACAACAAGCCAGTATGCGGTGTTCCTCCATGGCTTCTGCTTCAGTTTCTGCCTCTAGGTTCCTGCCCTGACTTCCTGTCATGATGTCATGACAGACTGTAAGCTGTAAGCTGAAATAGACTCTTTCCATGTTACTTTAATCCTGGTATTCACCAGTGATGGAAATCAAACCAGGACAACTCCTCGCCCAGACATGATCATAGCTCCCTCCCTCCTGAGGGGTATTTGGTCTCTGCTCAAATGTCACTTCTTTGGAGAGAACTCCCTGTAGCCATGAGGCGGCACAGCATTCAGTCCTGGCTCCTTGCCCCGAAGTAACTTTTCTTGGTGACATTTTTTTCACTATGAGATACATCTGTTCTGTGTGCATATATGTAACATTTATCCACCATCAGAACGTGAGCCCCCAAAAGGACAAAGACTTGTATTGTGCTTTTCACTGGAAACTCTACATGGTAGAGAAAGAAGACATAGATGGGAAATCCCCAGCAGAATTTTAGAACTAGATGGAGTCTTAGCATTGAATTAATCCAAATGCTTATTGGACAGATGCAGAGACTGAATAGTCACAGGAAGTTGTTCCGGGGGCAGGAGGAGGGGCTACACCGTGCATCTCCCTAATCTATGTCCTGCTGCTTTCAAAAACAAATTGTTATAACATACATATGGCGTAGATCCTACCGTGTTGACTGTCTTTAAGTTAATGGCTCAAGCAAGCTAAGCACTTCCACACTGTGGCAAAGGCCCCAGCACCGACTACCTCCAAAACTCCCTCTTCTTCACGAACCAGAGCTTGGTCCTCATTAAACTACAGCTGTCCATCCGTTCCCTGCCTCAGCCCCCGACACCACCGTTTACCTTCTATGTCTGTACATCTGCATCTTGCAGATGAGTCATGCAAGTGTTCTAGCCCACGTCGGAATTCCCTTCCTTCCCAAGGCTGACTGTTTGCTGTCCTGTTGTGCAAACATCCCACGTTCTGTTTGTCCATTTGTCCTTCCTTCTGTGATCACACGGGTTTGTCCTGCTTTGTGGCTATCTTTAGGAATGACATTATGAGTAACTACATAAACACAAGCTTTTGTTTGTGTTTCTGGATCACCTGGCAATCTATGATTTTCTTTTATTTGTGAACTGATGTTCGATTTTTCACAGCAGCTGCCCTGACTTCCCATCCCACGAGGGTTCTGTTGCTCTCCAGTCTTGCCAACACTGGTTGCTTATTTAGTTTTTACAGTGTTAATCTAATGTGTGTGACAGGGTGCTCCATGTCTTTGGTTGTAGCTTCTGGTATTTCAGCTTTCTGTCTCTTCTTTAGCTGCTGTGTTTACTTCTTGGAGAAAAGGCTTCTCCAGTCCTTGCTGGTTTTGAGAACTGCATTGCTTATGCGGGATTTGGGGATGTCTTCTCCTGATTAGCTGTATGACTTGGGGATATTTCATCTCCCTCTGGGGCTTGCTTATGCACTCTGTTGGTAGCGTCCTCAGTGTGGACAGATTTGCACATTGGTGAATTCTAAATTATGTCTTTTTTTCTTCTAGTGTTTGTGTTTTCTGGGTTCAGGGAATCACAGATTATTTCAAAATATTGAAGCTTTCCCCTTCATCTTCTTCTATAAACTTACACATTTAACTCCTATGTTTCAGGACTGACAAGCTTTAAGCTCGTTTTTGCACACAGTGTGAGGCCAGGGTATAGGTCTGTTTTTACATGTGCCCTCTTGCTTTCTCAACACTGTTTGTTGAAAGGATTGTTCTTCAGTGTTGACATGTTCTGCTGCTCTGCAAAGGGTAAAGTTATTGGCTTCATGTTCTTAATAGTTTCTGGTGCTGTTCTTCTGAAAGGATTAAGACACACCCTTGGCCTGACTGGAGAACAGCCATCCCTCTCCTGATGGCTGCCCTGTTTCTAGACCACTGCTCGTTCCGCCCACTGCTGGCTTTAGACTCCTTCTAGATTTCATTAACTCATTTACAGAGAAATTGCCCAGGATATTGACACTTAGAAGACCCAGGCAGGGTGACATTCTTAGAAGGAATGGAGGAAGTTGAGACAATATCAGCCCTAGTCCTAGGTAGGTATAAGAAACATGCATACGGGATTGGAGAGATGATGGTTCAGCAGTTAAAAGCACAGACTGCTCTTGCAGAGGTCCTGAGTTCAATTCCCAGCAACCACATGGTGGCTCACAAGCATCTGTCATGGGATCTGATGCCCTCTTCTGGTGTGTCTGAAGAGAGCAACAGTGTACTCACATTTCAGGACAGAGACTGCCTTGCCCTGTTTGTGCTCTTGCTATTGGGAAGTCACATGACCTTTCTGTCACTCAGAGTAGTTAATAAATAAATCTTAAAAAAAAAAAGAAAGAAAAGAAACATGCATACACTGGAAAGCTGGCTCAATGGCTAAAAGATTATGCTGTTCTTGCTGAGGAAGCGGGCAAGGGGTCTCTCCTGTATCGGGGAAATAGGAACATCTGATTTGCAGCACGAGTAAAGCTGCTTCCCCCCCAGGTTTTCCAACTAATTTCTCTGAGGAGCATTACCAGGAAAATTTAGAAGTACAGTAGAAAATCAAGCATGCAAGCAATCACCACAATGAGACCTCCATATTAGAACTGAAAAGGCAAAATGGGGATCTTAGCCCCTCCCCTTTGTATCCTGACACTCAAGTTTCGGTTTTCTTCTTTGTTGAGAGGTTTGTTGGGCGAATTGGGTGGACTAACCATAGCATGGGAAGGATTTGGTATGGGGAGAGTCATGGTCTACGATCAATATAAGCAATGAGCCCCTTCAGGGGTCTTCCAGGAAGAGTGCCAGGGAGAATTAGGGAGAGGTGAACAGAGGCACACTGGACATGTAGTTAGTTTTTATGCTTGATTAAGAATTATAGCTGATGCCCTTATTTTTCTTGGGAAAAGAGGGAGCTCTGAGATTGAGGGGGCCACTGAAAACACTGAAAGCGCATTCAAGTGTTCCTTGCCTGGAGGGAATGTTTGCCTTCTCTTCCAACTGTGTAATGCTGGGCTTCAACTAGAGTGGAAATCTCCAGCAACTGCTAAGACATACTTAGGCATTCACAGTTCCAAGACACAAGACTGCCCTGCCCTGTTCGTGCTCTTGCTGTTGGGAAGTCACACGACCTTTCTGTCACTCAGAGTAGTCAAGATAATGCTGCCAGAACAAACAGTCCCCGGATCTCAGTGTTCTGTCCAAGAGGAATTATCAGATCAGTAATGTGAACAAGCTTGGGGTTCTAGAAACGTCTCCTAGTTTATGGGATTTTTAAGAACCTTTGATTTTTGTCTCTTACTAGCTACAGAGACTTAGGTTACTTCAATCTGCACTTAATTTACTTTAGTTGAAACCACTGGAGTGATCAGTACTACCTTGTGTGTATTTATTACTAGACTGGAGATCAGTTTGCTGTTTAGCACTACTGAGAGCACGCTTCAGACTTCTCATTTGCATCTCTGTAATGCGATCATTTGTTTACTTGACTGTCTCATACACTTAGTCACTGGATTTTGATTATTTCCATTCCCCATCATGGTCTTTTATCCCTCTTCTTTTTCCATTGAAACCTCCGTCTTCCCTCAGATCCTCTTCCAACTCTGGTGTCTTTTTGTGTGCACGACACATCATGTTTAATCATGGTTGCTTGCAGGAGTGGGTTGTTATTTACTAGAGCATGGGTAACTTACCAGTGACCACCCAGCTGGAGAAGATGATAGCTTCCTCCCTCAGTACCCTATAACTGCCTATAGTGAGTGCCTCACTTCAGATGAGCCTCCCTGTGCATTATGTAACTGTAGCCAGCCCAGTCTTATACAGGTAACTACAGCTACTCTGAATTCATGAGTACAGTGACCATGCCATGCCCAGAAGATGCTATTTCATGCCATTTCCCCCAACTGTTGGGTCTTTGTTCTTTCTGCTCCCTCCTATGCAATGTTCCCTGAGTCTCTGAGTGGGTGATATGAATGTCCCATGGAGGGCCAAGCACTCCAGAGTCATTTATTCTTTATGTTTGTATGATCATTAAATCTCTCTGTATTGGCATACACTGAAAACAGAGGTTTCTCTGGTAAAGGCCAAGAGCAGCTTTCATCAATGAGTATAAACACAAATATTTAATTTAGAAGGCAGTTCGACACCATGCCCATTTAACAAAACAATAGCAATAAGTTTTTACTTAGGACCTATGACATCTCTAGCCTTGGAGAACAGGTTTACAGAACCAAGCACAGGTTTCTTACTGTGGAGGAAGCCTCAGATCCATCCAGAGAGCAGTTGGTTACCTCTGTTAGAGCCACACCACTAATACATCAGGGGGTGTACCTTGTCAGGCAGGAAGCTGCAGCTCATGAGGTCCACATCTTTGGATGTATATATTGTTAGGTGTTTTAAATTTTTTTGGAAGTAATTTTTACATCTTTTTTTTTTTTGCAATTGATTCTGATGGTCTTTCTCAATTAGTGTGTTATTTATTGTAAGTAGCTATTCATCTTAGGGTCTTGGCTGATACAATTATAGTTTTTCTATTTTATTTTGTTTCATTTTTTTTTAGAAGCTGCAATCAAATGCAGAGCCTCATCCAGGCTGTTTAAGCATTTAATTTTATTAATCTCTTCTATCCCATCAATCATTTCCCCTCACATTTCCAGTGAGATAAAATGATATATGTATGTATATATCTATTAATATGTATATATATCTCCTTTTCTCAGTTTTAAGGACAACATTCAGTATGCTCAAATCTTCCTTGAACACTTGATAACATCATAGTCCTAGAACTATGGGTGGTCTGACAATCAAGACATCTTTCCAAATTAGTTGTTTCTTCCAAGCCTCTGTTATATGGTTTTGTTCATGGTTTTTATTTTTTTATTTTATTTTAAGAGTCCAAACAAAGTTCTCAGCAGTTTTCTGGAACTAGAAATCAGTTGGTAAAGCATTCTTAGGGGGAATCTCATTGCCCTGGGCTTGGGAATGAAGCTTCTAGAGTGGTCCTTCATGATAAGCACAGGGCACACAACTCGTAGATAGCAGTTAGATGTGATGCTTTTGTATCACAAGAGGTTAAAAGGAGCGGGAGGAAAGCCATACTCATCAAGGCAGTGCAGACTGGGCGGGATGGGGGTGGGAAGCTGTTCTTATGTTCATTTGGTTTTTGTATTTCTGTCTTTCCGTTCATTGCCTCTTTCTTTTTCTTAACAAACAATTAGAAACACATCCCACTGTGAGCAAATGTCCATGGAACTCAAAGTCTTTAAGAATACTGAAGCGTCGCTGCCTCTTGTCTCCTACTTGCAAATCTCAGCTCTCTCAGCCACTGGGTTACTAGTGTGCCCTGACCTGAAAGAATTCATCCCCAACAAAGCTGATGGAAAGATACAGTGGTATAAGGTAATGCTTTGAAACGTGTTTGCTACAAAAATATGTCTGTATGGTTGAAGAACACATACGTAAGAAGCTGATTGAAGACAATATATTCTCGTAGACACATGGATACTTATATATTTAGAAATATGATATTAATTAAAATGTCGATGATTAGTATTGTGTGGTTTAGATAAGGTCCATGCAGGAAGAGTGTGAAATGATTTCAGAGTCAATAGGTGCTAAGGAGCTTTTGAGTGTCACTGGACTGAAAATAACTAGGAAAAAACAACCCTCAAAACAACCCTGTCCATTTTCTACAAAAATTTTATATCTATGTTTAAAATGTCTTTTTAAAAGCATGAGACAGCTTTTGGATAGCAGGAGTAAATACAGTAACAGTTTCTCCTTTGTCTTCTTAAGTAAAGTAGTAAGTGTTTTATGGTTTCTTTGTGAGGCCATGGTTTCTTTAGGAGACATTGTAGTTTCCCTGGCACAGGTTGCAAATTACAGCCAGGAGTCATAGAGAGCTATCACCTGTCTCTGTAACTCATCAAGTATGGAGAGCTTTCAGGTTTTAAATGCTTGAAAAAAAGATGAAAAGAATACTCCAGCACATGTGACCATTGACTACAGCTCAGGCTCCAATGTTTATAAGCACATTTGTATTGGGGCTTTCATTCGTCAGTGTCTGTACCACTGTGTAGTATGACAGAGACCATGTGGTCTATGAGGGCAAAAAACCATGATCTATCTGGCTCTTATCTGAAAGGACTTGCCCACCTCTGATAAAGACCATAGAGAGATTCGAGAAGGCTAGTATTCCTTTAGTCATTGATAGGAATTCGTCCTTTCATCAACAGGTTAATCAGCTGACTGGTATTAAAGTCAAGATACACATGCACACGTATTTATATACATCATAGCAATACGATGGAAACTTTAAAATGCTTTTCTGAAAGTAGTTTGTGCCCATTTATAAGCCTGGTGAGCCGCAGAGAGCCTTCTCTTGGTTTAGAAAGAGCAGGCAGGGGACAAATGCAGGGGTCTCCTGCAGAGGATGAAACATAGATCCGGAAACAACATGTCTGGTTAGAAACCTTCCTTCTTTTTGTTTGCTCATTTGCTTCCTGTCTTGAACTTGTTTTTGCTTTGAGCAGAGAATTAGCAATTTCAGCTCCCTGGGACCGTTTTGAAGGTTAGGAATGGAGTAATGTGGGTGCAGCACCTCACCATGCTTGCATCTGTACCATGCTTAATAAACAGGGCTGGCATGCAATGTTAACAATAGCCGCTCTTTCCACAATTCTGTTGAACATTGCTGAGTACCTACTGTGTTCTCCCTGTTCTAACCTGCTAATTTCTCCCCTTTCTAGATGACAGGGACAGGGGAAACTGAGCCAAAGTCGAAGTTTATAGAACAACTGTGATATTGTGCCCTGTGTTCATATTTGTCTGCTCGAGCTAGGAGCTGTGAGGTCTCCCCTTTAATTAGGTATATTTTGAGGAAGGGCCATGGCAGTCTCTGTTTACTCTGTGTCTCACCTAGTGTAAGATTATGATGTCTCTTTGGGTTGTATTTCATTACCGAATGTCTTGAGCTGTGATCACATTTTATCCACCCCCCACTCTTTCCCTTCTTCCCACCTCCTCCCTACTTCTTTCCACCCCTCCCTTCTTGATACACCCCTTCCCTCCTTCCCCCTCCCTCCTCCTTCCCACTCCTCCCTCCTCTCCTCTTTTCTTCCTCATCACCCCTTTCCTCACTTTTGACAGGGTTTCTCTATGTAGTTCAGTCTGGCCTCAAACTTATAATCCTCCTATCTCAGCTTCCCAAGTGCCGAGATCACAGGTCCATAATACCATGCGCAGGGTTTTCCTGGTGTAGAAAGCAATATACTCGAGGCTACAGAACACTCAAGATTTTTTTTTTTTTTTTTTTTTTTTACCAGTCTTCTACTTCCCTGGATGCCTTGTTCCCGAGGGCTCTGTTTTGTCAAAACCCTCCAGGACTCTGTGTCTTTATGAGAAGATGGACCTCCATCTCTCTTATTTAACTACTTACAAAATTTCCTCTCCTGCAGCAAGTCCTAAAATTGAAATAATTTTAAAAGAAATCCCTCCAACATAGTCTCTTCCAGCCCTAGTTTTTCATGTCTTCCTGGCTGTTTAATAGTGATTTTCCTTGATATTGCTCATAGTCAGAAGAAGGCAGTTAGACTTTAAGTATATTTGTACTTAAATGGTTTAACTTAATCTTTAAAAAAATATATTTCTTTTTCTAAATGGGGTATAGGGGCACACCCATGTCATCCTAGAAGCCAGGAGGTTTAGGCAGGAGAATCAAGAGTTTAAGGCCAGTGTGGGCTACATGACGATATTCCACCCCAAGGGAAAACATCATTTCTCTAGTAGTACAGTTAAAAATGCGCCCCCAAAGACAAAATGGTCAAAGTATGTATATGCCAAGGAGATTCTTAGGTTGTAGATTCCACACTGATTGACAATGATGCTATTACACTCAATGTTCGAGAGCTATGTTATTCTATAATGTAACTTTAAGATACATCTCTAGGGCTCCATCCTCTTGGATAAAGGCAATAAGAAATTTCTGAGTGCAGGAGACCCCACACGTCTATTGATATCCAACACATCCATGGAAGATTCAGGCTATTACAAGTGTGTTATGACATTTGTCTACAATGGCAAGGAATACAACATCACTAGGAATATTGAACTCCGAGTCAAAGGTAAATGCACACCACTGAGGTACCCGTCTTGCCTGGTTCTAGAAAGAGCATGATAATAAATTCAGGGGCACCTAGAAACCCCCAAATGTCTTTGGCATGAAGGAAAAAGAAAGCTTTGTGTGTCAACTATTCTAATGTTGCTAAAACACAGCCAAGATACTTTAAGAAATATATGGCAGGGAGTTCCAAGAGAAGGAGAATTAATTCTTGGGCAGGGAAGGGATGAAAGCAGGTATCTGAAAGTTGCAAGGCTAAAACTCACCACTAGAGGGGGCCAAACCAAGGGGTCCTGAGAAATGGAAGGTTCTAGCACTCTGAGCTAGCTGGTCAGGACACACTTGCCAGGCCTTAGTACACACTTCTGAGGCACAGAGAGTTTACTGCAGTGGCTCTCAACCTGTGGGTCACGACCCCTTTGTGGGGAGGTCACCTGTCCTGCATGTCAGGTGTTTCCAGTACAATCCTTAACAGTAGCAAATTACAGTTATAAAGTAGCAATTAAATAACTTTATGGCTGACATAAAATGACAACATGAGGAACTGTATTAAAGGGTCACAGCTTTAGGAAGGATGAGAACCACTGTTTTACTGGGTTTTTGACCAGAGCACTGCGAATTCACCCAGCCTGTGCAGAATGCCCTGGTTGTCGTCTGCTGAAGGTATATCCAGCTGCCCTTTGTATAGATTAACCGCTACCTGCCTGAGGGCTTAACAACAGAAACCTTCAAAATCTTGATTTTTTTTCTCAAGAATTGGCATATTTTCACCAGCATAATGAGATCTTGGGGGATAGGCACAAGTTTAAACATGAAATTACTGTATGTGTAATATAGTTTTTACACATAACCCAAAGATAGTTTGATGTGATGTTTTATTTACTTTTTTTTTTTTTTTTGGAGACAGGGTCTTGGGCTATACTTGGTCCAGTGGCTATAAGCTGGCTTCTAACTAGAGAACCTACTGTGGCTCTTCCATGCTGAGATCACTCATGAATGCCACCAGGTTGACTATCACAGTATTTTAATTAATTCTGTGTATTAAAACAAAGTTTTACAGTATGGGATTTTCCACGCACAGCGTTATATTGCTGCTTAACAAGTTTCTGATTTTAGAGTAGGTCCGATTTTGAAAACCCGGAGCCATGATGCTCAGCCTACACCAGGACAGATTATATGTGAAAAGAACGTGATAGGCAGGGCTGGCCAGCATGTGACAGTCGTTTAGTGTCCACCCCCAGCTCTTACGTGCTGGAGAGGAAGAGAGGTGAAAGGAGAATAGAATAAAATATGTGAGCCCCAGAGACTCATTTGTGTCATTACTCTGCCTGAACTAAATTCTCTGGCATGTACTTGTTTTCCTGTCCCGTGAGAAGAGAATAGGCTCACATCTTGCTAAGTTAGGATGGTGCCTGAGAATGGGCTTCACTACTTGTTTGTGTGATACTGCACAGAAACGCTAGGGGGCGGCAGACCTGCATATTGTACTGAGTTGTGAAACTAGGGTCACACAGTGGTTCTTAAATGGGGCTGCCCTGTCTGGCCTCAGTGGGAGAGGAAGCGCCTAGCTTTGCAGAGACTTGAAGTGCCAGGGTGGGGGGGAGGATATCAGTGGATGGGGCACCTTCTCAGAGGAGAAGGGGAGGGGAGAAGGGGAGGGGTTGTGGGAGGGGGTAACCCTGGGAGGGGGGCAGTGAGTGGGATGTAAAGTGAGTAAGTAAAAAAAAAATCAATCAATCAATCAATCAAATAAATTTTGGTGAGTTGCTCCACTTCAGGTGCTCAGTTTCGTCCAGCTGGTTGGAATCCCTTTGAGGTCCACTCAGTCTTCCTCAAGAGTTTACCACCTTAGTTAATAAGATGTCAGTGACCAAGGTGTGACACTGAGTTTAGTGCCCAGTGCAGGATTAGTCTTACACACAAATGGCTCTCCAACCCACTTTCCAACCCCGGAGCCTGCTCTTGAAGATGTGGCTCTTTAGTCTTGAGGGAAGGCAAAACCTTTAGGCAAAACTCACTCTGTGGATATCATCAGTGTGCACTCAGGAAGCCCGGGAGAGGAGTAGCTAATTGTTCTTCACAGAGCAGACAACAAAGACCATCTGCCAGAAGAACGTGGCCTCTTCCAGTAATGTCTCTGCCGGGAAAAGCATTGGCTTAAGATGCTCGATTTCATAGAGAGCCCATTTCCTTTGCCAGACAAAGGCTGATTCTCACAATGTCTGGTCACATGGGGGAAGGGCCACTTAATTAGCTAGACAAAGAAATCTGAATTTGTGCTGGAAACCAAGGCTTCCCCCTAATGCAATCTCTTCCTCTCGACCTTCTCAGGAACAACCACAGAACCGATTCCGGTGATCATTTCTCCCCTGGAGACAATACCAGCATCTCTGGGTAAGGACCCAAGAATTATTTTATCCATACACCCACCGTGGTGCCTGAAGTCATCAGGGTTTCGGGGACCTGTGAGTGACCACATTATGCCTTTGGGTGCACAGTGCCTGAATGGAGTCCGTGACCCAAAGGGGGGGCTGACATGACCACCGTAGGGACCTTTGTCTTTGCCAAGTATTGTTTAATAGTATTGCCATTATTTGAGAGCAATGATACTTTATTTTCTGAAAGTTATACCCACAAAAACCCAAATGTAACAGGGGCAAATAATTTGGTGACAGTTATTAAATATAGGAAGGGGTTCACAGAGCTGGCATCTTTAATCCATTCAACTTAATTCATTTTCTCAATATTTAGCAGGTGCTCAGAATTCCTGTAAGATTCTCTTAGTCAAACAGAGCCAGCAGCGACTGCAGACTGCAGGCTGTTTCTTGTTATTAGAGTAGCTGGTATATTCATCAATGGTATGATGAAAGGGGTTTTCCATTTTACCCCCTGCTGATGCAGGATGTCGGTCTACAGTCTTGCTGGATGGTCCATAGCAGGTGGCCAGTGAAGGCACATGAGTAGACTGTATAGATACTTTCTGAAGTTCACGGTAGGGAAGGGCTGCCCATTTACTGAGCATCTACTCGGCCTGGTGGGAGCCCATCCCATGTCAGCACCAACTCTCTGTGAAGGTTTTATTTCTACTACTTAGCACAAGGAAAAGCCACCAACGAGTAATAGGGATACAGTACACTTCAGAAACTCAAAGAGTTGGGTTCAAGTTTGACTGCAGATTTTGGTCTGTGTGCCTGCGAAGCTGACACCCTTTCATGTGCTTGTTTTTAATAATAGAGGTTTTATAGTTCTGATGCTCATTCACCAAGTTCTGGCTTCAGAGTCTGTTTTATTGTTTTATTTTTAAAGATTTATTTATTTAATGCATATGAGTACACCTGAAGAGGGTATAGGATCCCATTATAGATGGGTGTGAGCCACCATGTAGGTGCTGGGACTTGAACTCAGGACCTCTGGAAGAGCAGCCAGTGCTATTAACCTCTGAGCTATCACTCCAGCCCCCCCCCTCACCCCAGTGTCTGTTTTAAAACAAAACATTATTATTCATTTTGCTTGGGGTTGGGTTTAAATGTTACCTGGAGGCCATAGAGGTAGGGGCTCTTGTGCAGGGTTCAAATTACTTGTGTTCCTCTTGCTTATCTGACCATCTTCTCGAAAGCCAGAGTAGTGGAGACAGTACTTCCTGGTTCCCAGTTTGCTGGGTCTCAGGTGCTCTCCAGCTAAGTGGAGCCCAGTCCAGCCCCATCGGTTGCCTTGAAGGCACTGAAGTGCATGGTACAGTTACAAGACTACTTCTTGCTCGTTTGTTTTGTTTCATCCCAGCTCTGGGCACAGAGCCAGGCTTTCTGTACTCTAGGTATGACCTACATATAGTGGACTGCTATAGCTGGTGGGGAGCATCTAAAGTTCCAGGGACAAGAAGTGATGAAGAGTTGCTGATATTCTCTGAAAGTGACTCGGGGCCAGATATACTAGCAGGCAAACCGTAGAAGCTGTATCTTCAAGAGTAGGAAGTGAAGTCTTCTTTTCCATTGTCTCCTCTTTGGTGACTCGGAAAGAAAAATAATTTCCTAAGATTGAAGCAAGGGATTGGCACCATCCAAGTGTACAATTGTAGAGAAAGCACTGTCCTTAGACTGAGCTACTGGTTTTCAAAGGGTTAATTGTAAACCCGGACCCTCTTAGAATGAACCATCTGATTGGGAAAATGTAAAGTTGAGACCAGCAATGGCTGAAGAAAGAGTCACACATGATTTTCTTGTAGTTAGCCTCGGTTGTGGAAGGAAACAGCTCTTGAGCATTGAATGCCTGGTGGGAATGCAGCGTCCCAGGTGAAGCCATTCTAGTCTGTGTGCTTTGGGGCTTTTGCCTGCTGCGTGGACCAGTGGATGGTGCCAACGATATTTGGTCAATCAGTGCTAAAACTTTGCCTGAGCAGAGCTATTTGAGGAAACTAAACTTCCTCCTAAGGAAAGGGTTAACTTATGAGGACATTTGAGAAGACAAGCAAGGCTTCGTGCTGAGAGCTTCCTGAGGATTGTGAGGTAGGCAGCCCCTTTTCCGGCTGGGTTCTCATGGTTGATGTGTTATATCTTGCTATACACAGGGTCAAGACTGATAGTCCCATGCAAGGTGTTTCTGGGAACCAGTACATCTTCCAACACCATTGTGTGGTGGATGGCTAACAGCACGTTTATCTCAGTGGCTTACCCAAGAGGCCGTGTCACCGAGGGGCTACACCAGTAAGTGGGTGAGGGGTTCTCTGCTGTGTTTTACTTTCTTCTGGAGGCAATGTTACATTCAGGGCCTGTTCATATGAAATATACACATATATATTTTATAAAATGCAATATAATATATTATATATAAAATATATATGATATATTACATATTGCAGTAAAAATAACATTTAATAAAGTTATGAACTGTTAGGGATTCAGAACTTTAAAAATTAAATTTTACTCACCATTGTCCTAATTGCTCAACATTGTCTCTCTACTTGTATGAGCTGCAGTTTACAAGTTGACTCCAGACATTTTTTTTCTTGATTCTATTCTATTTTATTATTGGTTATTTTATTTATTTATATTTCAAATGTTGATATTTTTCCTTGACTAAAGTATTTCAGAATCGGTTCATTTTCATTTGCCACTTTGTTACACTCATGACTCAAAGATCTTCATAAGCCCTCATAAATATTATAAGGACTTGACATGGTATCTGCCCTAGACCTGTGGTCTGATTTGTCTCTAAAGGAGAGAGAGAGAGAGAGAGAGAGAGAGAGAGAGAGAGAGAGAGAGAGTTAATTGTGTATAGACATCCATCTCCTGCCTCAGTTTTTACACTCTGAAAGCCGAAAGGGAAGGAGACAGAGTTTGAAATCTCAAGCACTTTTTAAGTTGTAGTCTTGTTACTTTGAATTAGCCTGGACCTGTGCTTGTTACTCTTTGTCTTTTGGGGAAGACTAACGAAAATGTTTTTTTTTTTCAATGGGTACACTTACTGGATGAAAATGACACACAGTGGTATAATTATTGGTTTCCAGTGTCTTGTCAGTGTTAGTGGACTCAGACTGCTTAGCTGATAGTCCTGGTGTACACGCTCTGAGATGCCGTTGTTCACATGAAT